GAGTGGTAACGTTTGCTCCCATTCACTGGCCTAGAACAGGCACTAAACTGGAGGAACAACAAAACACGACGTATTTATGCTTCAAATAGTATTTGCTCTCGGTTTTCAAATAAGAATCTCACCTGAGTTGACATGTAGATGTTATACGCCATACAATGAAGGAAGCGTTTGTCTGTTGTGGGTAATACACTCTACTCTGCGAAGAAACTTGCAACTTTCAACCACTCACTCCGTTTTTCTGGTACATGGAATGCTATCAATAAGAATACCTCATTGATACACTTGATCTCACTATCACCCCCCGAGGATAATACACCTCCAAGAAAAACGTGATTTTCGCTGCTTACGCTCCAAAAACAAATCTGTCAATTAAATGTGCGCGTGGGCATCGACTACTCCTTTTATCCCTTGGGTTATCAAGTATTATGTTGTTTCGGTTACTTTAATCCGTTCAATGATGTTGGATATCTGTTTACTGGGGAGAGGTATTTTTGTCCAGGCCGTCGATCCAAGTATGCATGCAATAAACTACGATGGCATACCAAGTGGTCTCCTCCTTCCTCCTCACTCGAGTCGGGTTACATAAATGTTGGCCCTATCTTAACGGTGTGGTGTTTTTGGGACTAAGTGGATCATTGCAGTGATGGATACGTTTTCTGTGGGGCTCTGGTGGTTGATCGGATAGCAGTTGATCTGTTCACCGAGCTTGGCAATCGGCTTGCAAACGTTTCGTCCCCAGTCGAGGAGACATCGTCAGTGCGCAGTTGAATGGGTGCTTTCTCCGTCCCTAGCTGCGTTTATGTAGTTTTTTGTAGAGTATCTAATATCTTGTCATGTGATTGGCTATTTGGTATATGCCTTCTGTTGCATCACGGTAGGATCGACCGTGATTTTGTTTTGCTGCGTTGTGGTCTGTGGGGTTTGTGGGGTTCCCCCATGCCATTTGAACCGCATTCTCATGACTCAACGGTGTCTTTGTTGTAGCACGAAACCTGTTATGATGGTACCTATTCCAACAGGACAAACTTTCCACTAGTGCATTTCAGTAAAATGAAATTCATTTCGCTCTGCAATCCCACCATCTCATCCATGTCTGCGGAAAATCAGGTAAAACTGATCCCAAGATTGAGTTGCATGAAGAAGTTCATTTTCGAAAGCATTTGGACCCTAAGTTTGCACAGACTTCACCCGGCTAGGGTGACAGTCCATTTAACAGAGGTACTTGCGAATTGAGCTTCCTTTCATGTTGTCTAAGTTTGGGTAAACCAGTGAAACACAAGTTACCCAAGGTAACATCGAACAGTCACTTGTACAGCAGTCAAGCAGAGTGTTTAAACTGTCGTAACTTCATTGACCCAGGTTTTCTAGTTGGGGTATAATTACGGCTTCTATGAGAACATGTGTGTGTGTGTGTGTGTGTGTGTGTGTGTGTAGATATGTACCATTTTAGTTGGATTGCGAAATATCAGGGGGGCGAGTTGTAACCACTTTATTGATGCGCGACTGTCTTGAGCTTCTAGGCTTTCTCGGCCTCTGAATTTCTTTCCAGTAAGGAATCGAACGGCTTCGGTTGCTACTCGAGATTCTGTTGCCCGGAACACCGGGCCACACAACACTGTGTGGAGCGAACTCAGCTCATCATTGCAGACTTTGACGTAGCTACCCCCATTTTCGAATAAATTTGCANGCAGTACACATCTCACGAAACTCAGAGTTTCAAGCCAGCAACCTATTGTCTGGACACAAGTAGCTACTCGGCAGTGTGGTTATCTCTCTCTTACACAGCCCCACTTATTCTTCATTAACGGAAATCACATCACGTGATCACGTATTGACTGGATCCTAGGATGAACACTAATCAGTAAGAAGTTTCACACATCCAGCGAAAGTGTCCTTTGCCTGAGCTACTTACTGTTTCGTGGTAATGTGAAAAGATTTGATAATATTCAATACACATTTCTTCCTGTCAGGGGTGTGGGTCCCACTTTCTCAAAGAAACCAGTCATGTTTTGGAAAATTTACTTACGATGAGTGTGAGTTCCCACCTTCCGCTTCAACGGTAGAGAGGTAGTTGTGTAGACATACACAAAGATTGACCCTTTACTGGAAATGAGGTAATGTGTAGATGTTCAAATCTGTTTCATCGTGCAACGCCTTACTAGTGTTCCTTCAAACCTCAGATTGTATCGGTCATTAGGTTGCTTCAAAGTCACTTCCTGAGCAATACACCAAAATTTGCGAACACAGGTTGACCAATTCTGTTGAACATCCGTTTAAGTCAGTTGCAATGGTTCCACTCCCCCCGAACATGATAGACATTTGCTTAGCTGGTACTGGTTTTGTGGATTTTGCAAACATCCTCGATTGAGAATAAATTGAGGTACAGCTCTGTACTGAGCGCTTTTGTTGGAGAGGAAGTAATGAGCTAACCACGTATGACCTAAAATCGGAAATCGTGTATGCGTGAGGGAAACAAGCAACAATGTGACCGAAATCGGGGTCAAAGGGGTGTGTTCGTAAGCTAAGCAGGAAGGATGATATATTTCACCATCCATGCAAAACACAAACCCAAGCTTTTGAAATGTCTGTTAGCGTTGGAATGACCTCTGTGTTCGTTGCCATTCTGACCGGAAGTGTTCGCTGCTGAGTATGCTGAGCTTCTTGTGTTATATATAGCTTATGGAAAAATTGTTATGGAGCATCTGTTGTGCAGAGATGAACAGGATAGGCTCTTTCAACAACGATAATTTGCTAACTGTCCTACGGAACCAGTGATAAAAGGTCATTGTGACAAAATGCTGGAAGCCACGAAGCTTGGCTCGCTCGGACATACCGGAGACTTTTGCATGATGTGTCGCAAACATTGTTGATTGTATTCTCGAAGACTGTGTGAAGTGCTCCCCATATGAAGGAAAAGCCCAAAATCTAAGAAGTTGGTATCCTAATTTACCATTCTAAGCTGACCCTGTAACTAAGCTTTATTTTATTGGCATCATCACTTACCATAAGAGTGACAGTAGTCAAAACAATTCGCGTTCACATCACTGTTCGGATGTAAAAATTCAGATGTGTCCAGCTTGCACTGGTGGAGTAGCATGTCATATGTCCAGAATTCGAACCCCGACAAGTGCACTGCTGACGAGGTGTAATAAGAGGAAAACTCGAACTCACGACTTCCCCCTCCGGTGCGGACTCATTAGAACAGCGAAGTACCTGTCCAAACAAGTCACGTGAATTGAGTTCCATGAACCCCACGAGCACCAGCAACTAATCACAATAGTCCTACAGGTCTCATATCCGTGACGCTACCTGACTGGGACGTCCTGGGCGTTGGGTCACTCGATCGATGCCACTAGGGTATTTACTGGGTCGTTGTTTGAGACATCGGGTCTACCACCTGCATCACTTAAGCATGTTTGCTAGTTCAGACATGAAGATCCAGATTTGTGTAGTGTGCGCTGGTGGAGTAGTGTTGACACACTCGCCTCGCATGCCAACCACCAACAAGCAGTAACAATAACAGTAATAATAATGGTAGCAATAAGGATAATGATAAGAGTAAGAATAGTGTATGGAACGTATAAACAAGTCACTAAATGAAACCTCTTTGGGTGTTATGTTCTTGAAGACAAGACTAATGTCAAGATCATTTTCTTTTGGCTTCAAGGGAATCTAATGAATTCAGTATTAATTTTTTCTGTGACCAACAGCCGAGAATCGCCACCAGGATGTGAAAGTCTCTTGGTGGGGCTCGAAACATAACTAAACTCAGCTAGTTCACTGCCCGAGGCCGTAAAAATGGTTCATATGTGCCACTTTATTGCAGAGAATTTGCTGAAAAAAGAAATTAAAGTAACTTTCAGATTGTTTTATCTGGGTTCTTAATTTATTGCTCACCGAAACGTGACCCAACAACAAACTGCGCTGAGGCGTACCATGGATGCGAAATTACGAAGACTAAACCCCTCTTGATATTGATTCCGTAGTATGAACAGGCATAAGGAAGTGTACACATTCTGACACCGTTATGCGGAAGACCGATACAGTTATTTCGAGGAACCTCACAACTGTGCGGTTAGCGAATTCGGTCAGCACGTGCAACGGATAGTGCGCTGTTTGAATTTTTTTGTCATTGGTTACGCATCCTTTTTAGTTTTGCGGAAAAGTTTGAGAATGCAATCTGAGGTTGGACGGAAGAGGAACAGTTCATTTCCTAATTTCAATAATCATGCCTGATAACAACTGAATTTTAGAAGCACGACTCAACCCGTCTTGCATTTCTGATTCAATAGCACCCCTTTTGGTGTTTTGGAACATTGTTCCTGATGGGTATTCTGCAGTGAAATTTTGGTGTCAGGTTTCTTTGCACGCAAGTATCATTATCGCGGTTAGCTGGCGCACTTCGCCAATAAAAACTACCCATATTGGTCTAAGGTTGCACTTTCCATTTGAATGTCATTGTGAGTAACTGGCTACCGCCCCCCACTTCTTCAAATTTTAGCACTCATATCGCTAGGTGCAACGGAGATATTCGGTGTCCTGCTGTCCCAAGGCTGCAGACTCCACATAACACTGACGAGCAATCAACTGAACAATGCCGTGCCTTCAGCTGGATTGAACAGCCCTTCAGCATTCGCAAAAGCGAAGGCCTCGTAGAATCGATGACTAGACAGATCTGCTGGAACCAAAACGGCAGCAACCGGCTAGTCCATTACCAACCAATCGGATAAAGACCTGGCTATTTTGAGAGGAGCACATTAACTTATGTGTACTCAATTCAAGTAACATCCAAAAAAAGTATTTTGATATGCATATCTGAGCACAATCGTTTTTTAAAAAATGTACTACACTTCTGTCACCCAGTTGTCGCAAAAAGTCTCAAAGCATCGGTGTTTCCACATTTCAAGTAATCGACGGTTCCTAGTAGAACTTGGATAACCCACAGGGTACCAAATCTCTGGGAAGATCAGCGAACTTAAGACGAAACCAACCGTGGGCTGTCAAAGAGTTCTCAGCAACCTTGTGAGCAGTTTCCTCCACGCAAATATACTGTGATATCTCGAATATTGCACCAACTGAAACATGAGGTGGCCTTCGTGCAGGGCATCCAGTTGAACAATATCATAAACGACAGATTCGATTGAGTCTCTTGTAAAAAGAAACAATGCGAAATACAAAGGAGTGTACCTCTGCTTCCTCTGCGCCTGTAGACGTAACAAAAGTGCCGCTGTCAGTGTGAACTGTTGTTCTTTTATGCTGCAATCAGTGTATGGCTATTGCAATTCGGAGAACAACCTGTAGGCTAACGGTGATGTGTGTTACCTTCCGTGAGTTTCATGCTTATTCATGTAGTAAGACAGGAGAAGGGGATCAGTTACGGTCTACATAGAGAGAGAGATCACTGATTTTATTGAAACGGACTCATTGAATCAACAGTGTGCTAATTACGTTCACTTTGCGACAGGTACACTAATTTGCATACCAATTCGGTTTTTGAGGGGACTCACGTGACTCTCCTTGGGAGGCAATTTCCGGCTTTTCCCTTCTTGGCGATCATCAGTTGAACCTGGTATCCGAGTTCCTACCGGTCTTATTCCCTGCTTGAATCCCAAACTCTATGTGGACGGAGTCATACGCTTATTTGTAATGGGAGATTCAAAGGAATGTCGGTTGGATCTTTCCTTCGTGTTGTCCTTCTCCTCATTTGGGAAAATATGTAAGATACCAAATGTGTTTTTATTTATATGGCAATACTTTTAGGGAGGATGAGACTTCCTCGACAGCTTTGTAAGCCGCACTCTCCAATGGAACGATTCGATACCTTGAAAATTGAAAACTGGGAACTCTGACATTGGGTTTAGCTTTTGGGCCGCAAGCAGGGTGAAAACGGCAGTGGTCTGTTGGGGAGATTTGCAACCTTGCTTCACCAAGGAGATATACCCCAAACATACCGAACATCATACCAACTGAAAGCTGAGACGCCTTTGTGCAGTACACTCAGTTGATGAACATTATAAACGTGAGTTTCAGCTGGAATTCAAGTGAGGTTCTCAAGGAAACCAAATTGGTGTGGAAACAGGCTTAGTTCGCGAGCTCCATGCAAGTACGGCTTGAGTAGAACATGGAGTGGACAGAAACTCTGGGACTATGCCTACCTGGTTAGCCACAAGAAGGGAGCAACCGGCAAAATTTTTCAGCAACCTCATAAGTAGTGTGCTACATGCAGGTTCACTTTTCTTTGTCTCCTTATTGGCAATGGGTTCGTAGTTGAGGCCTGCATGAGGCAACACCACGAAACTCACTTTGCCCTAATCGGAGTCCAGTACAATCACCTGTAAGTTCATCTAAAATCGAGGGTTCGCAAAAATGATCAACCGTTATATTAGTTCGAAGTCGAGTTCCTTCGGATGAACTCAATTCAATCTCTTACAATGCCGGTTTCACAACCGTTGTAACATATGGACCAATCGAGAGGAAGCGAGCATCCATCGGTTTCGTAGCCTTCTTCTTTCGCTCATCTGGATTTCACACTTGAGCCTCGCCCGCGTCACTTGAATGCCGGCGATGGCGCACACCTGACGGTCTAATGAGCGGATTTCTGTTCTGATTGGGTGACTAGCGCATACGGTTAGACATACACCAGGGGTGGGGTTAAAATTGGCTGCTGATTGGCTAAAGTTGGAAACAACACTGCCATGTGTTAAAACACACCCCTAGTTCATAGTTGAAAGAATATTTCACTCGTCTGTTGACTGTTTACTGTACAACGAGTTTCAGGCTCGTGGCGAAAATATCGACGATGATTATGATGGATCACCACTCAGAAAGCTCAGAACACAACAGGAAAATGGAAGGTGGAGGTGAAATGAACGCATCGATACGAATGCCAGCACACTCACTGCCACCAGTAGGCAATAACCAACATGCAACATATGAACAATTCAACCTTAATTCCATACATCATCAAGACCAGCACGCAGAAAGGTCCCAATCCACTATGAGTATTGGGAGATATCCTTCTGCTTACCCACATCAGTCATTCCGTGCTCTTCCTGTACGCCATTCGACACGATGGGGATTGAAATCCGGGGCTAAAAAGTCGTTTGTGTGGAAATACTTCTTCCATCCCGAAATAAGTCTAGGTGTGCGCGATCTATCCCACACGCAGTGTACGCTTTGCGATAGTCAGTTAGCGTTCAACACATCGGGAACCACAACCACCATGCTGAATCACTTGAAAAGCAGGCATATGGAGGTGGTAGAGAACGAACAACAACATCACCAAAAACAACGACTACCGCACCACCAGCGGCGCGACGAGGAGCAGAATCAACATGGTCACAAATATTTATCTCAGTCATCCGGTTATTCGTCTGCCATAGGAAGTGTCAAGACACCCAGAAACAGCTGGATCGCCACAGACAATTCGTACTCACTCAAAACATGCGGCTATATGAGAGCCCCGTTTCTTCGTCGCGCACATCGTGGACGACCACCAAACTCTTGGACAAAGTCGAGTTATGCAGAAAAGGGATCCCTAGAGTCGTATTCTGAAAAACTCAGCTACACTGAACCGGCGTCAAGAGATGGACTGCTGCAGAAAACGTCGGTGACTGATGTATCAGAGGTTAGTGATTAATGTGTACTCAGTATTCACGTTGGTACTGTAGGTGAAGAGAGTGTGGTTCACAGATAGTTGACTCTCAAACGGGCCGTGTGTCTGGGCCTTATCATCTTGGATAGTTTACACCGAAGGGGACGCACTAGGCTCCATTCACACTCTCCTCGGTCCGTAGCGACAGCTGAACTCCGAATGTCTGACATACACGGCCGCTACCAGGAGCATTTCAAATCCCACAGCTACTGGACTCTACTAGGGGCAAAACTCTGGTTCTGCTGTCACCGGCCTTTTATCTGAACTAATCAGAATAAGCATGCCATGACAAGATGATTCGGTGAACAATGTTAGAGTAGATACAAACGTAAGGTAGATGGAACAAGCAGGTTGTTGGCAGAAATAACATTTTTGAAACTGTCTGAAGGCCTGATAAACTACTACGACGCTGAATTCAGTTGTTGCCTCAATGTTAATGTGTTCTTTTAAATAAATTACGTTGTATCGTCGTTTTTTAAAGATCTGCGGAGCCATTTGCAACCCACAGCTTAGTCCGCTGATAACGATAGAACGCTGTTTTCAATAGTGAGACTATATCGCAGATGTTTATGAGTAAGGTAGTAGGAGATAACGGTATAGAAGCCCGTTTTCTG